GGTATGACACAAGCTTTTGCTATGGAAATGGCAGAGCACAAGATTACTGTCAACGCATACGCACCGGGTATCGTAGGTACAGCGATGTGGGATCTCATCGACGAGAAGCTCGGAGAAAAGACTGGCGCGAAGAAGGGCGACACCATCAAGAAGTACACGGATGAGCTGATCGCGTTAGGTAGGACAAGTGTACCTGAGGACGTGGCCTCGACAGTGAGCTTTTTGTCAAGCAAGGACAGCGACTATATGACTGGTCAAACTATCGTTATTGATGGCGGCATCATTTTCACTTGACAATCTATATGCTTTGTGGTATCACTTAGTCAGGGCCCCTTTGATAATCTCTCATACCTCACAGTCCTTGTGAAAACATGTCCCCTTATTCTAGCAATTACTTGTGGCTTGCTAACAATAGTTTGGATATCGCAAACCTGTTAGGATGGTGCCCTACATTATGAGCTCTCACCTCACAGTGTCTATTAGCACACAGCCAGTATCACATCCGCTACACCCCAACTGTCTTGAGGTCTCCCGAGATGCAACAAGAATACGATCCATTCCGCGGTAGACCTGCACAGTTCATCCGACCGGCACATATGCCGCAGCTACATCGACATCACGTACCGAACCACCACCGCCATGGCGCTAGACACCAACCACGAGTTCCCCAAGCCAGTCGGACCGTTCTCATATCTTCAGATAGGTTGATGCGATGGAGATCTGAGCTCGATGCTCTCGAGGAGTTGCGGGCCGCTATAAAGACTCTCTCAATGCATCAGAGCGAAAAGGTCAAGCTCTTCGCGCTGACAACACAAGTCAAAAATATTGTGGTGAGCGTTCAGAAAGAGATCAGGGAGAAGCTGAAGACATAGACCATGGTGTATGCGAGAGGTGATCTATTGGAGCAGGATGATTTAGCAATTGCACTGCTCATGCGCCATGGTAGAATGGAATGGAACTTGGGGACGAGCTAAACGAGTATTCATTCAATAAGAATCCAGCAGGTGTTCGTACCAGCAGTGATAATAAGGTGTCCCCTTCCTGGTCGGTTACTGCCTTCAAGGCATCGAAGGTTCAAGCTCAGTATCGCATTATTGAAATCCCTGTCACATCTTCAGGACTCCTTGAGGTTACAATACATGAAATACATGAAGTCTCACTTATCAAATATGATAGAACGTCCATCCTGATCTCGACTCAAAAGTTCCGCACATGATGTAAAGCCAATAAAAGTTTGGCCAACGAAAAACGCCTGCGCTATCGAATAGCAAAACAAATACGAAAGTATGTAATATGGTATTGATGTGAACCATCGTGCATTCAACTGTTGTTCGTTTAAGTATCGTAGCAGCCGGCGCGGGCATCATCCCTTGGACTATCAAGTATTCTGTGAGAACGGAATCTGGCACAGAATTTGATGATCAGTCTTTGTCATCTCATCCTTACTTAGGTGCACAGAATTTATCAGCTGTATGGTCAGCTTCCTGGTGCAAGAAGCACGACTTAATCAAAAGCGTGATACAATAAATTACCTGAGGTAACTCGTGAACTGTTGTCCACTTCAGGCGGCCGGAATTTCCCTGGTTACCAAGTTGGATCATATCATAAACTAGACATATTCGTTTGACCAACAATAGCTGGGTTTGGTGATACAACGTGGGGGTTCTAGGATTATGACCAGCTCGACGAAATCAGACGTAATTCCGATATGCAACACGCCATCATCTGGTGCTCCCCATGTTCGTACAATGAGGTCTTCATATGATTTATTGGGTCTTTCACAAATTAACTAAAGAGCTGCTGTAAAGCTGAGCATGATGCACGAGCTGCGTTGCTGCGTATACATCTCGGCACAAGGGGGATTCATTTGCAGTTGTGAGGTGCCTGGACAGATCCTTGATGACGTTCAAGCCCGTCTTGGTGGGGTTTTACTGAGTAACCTGTGGAACCATCGCACGACCTGTTGAATTTGTTTGCTAGCTTACCTGATGTTCGTCTTTCTTTCGTGCCCACATGCTCCGTCTGGACGGAGGAGCTTTTCAGATTGCGCACGGTACCCAGTATACAACAGTTATGATTCGACTTGATATTGATTAGGCCCATGCTAAAACCGCGTTCCTTCTTGATTCCTTACCATCTCTCTTGGTAAACCGGCTTCTAACACTAGTTGACGTACAAGGGCCGCCATATATTGATGTACGTCACTGCCAACGCAATTCCCATGGAGCGTGATGTCTGTTACAGACTACGTATGCAACCAACGGCAGGATCTTCCTCATAAGACCTTGGTCCTGGCCTCCTTTCCTGCTTTTCCCAACTTTTGCAGATATAGCCACAAAACCAAGCGCATCCAGTACGCAGAGTTCAAACATATACTTTCCAGCTGATAAGTTTTCACTTCGACATGTGGCCTGTCGCACGTCGCCGTCGAGCCGTCAGTCCACCACTGTATCCCAGTTACGACAACTTGGACCCCTACCATAACTACCCAAAGTTACGACAGCTTGTCGCAACATGCAGCTTACGGCTACAACTATCCCGTCGCGTACAATCCACTTGGAATCGAAGCATTCTCAACATCCAAACCAACCTTGCACGCTATCGAGGCTGCCACACGAGTGCATGTAACGGCACAAAAGGAGCACGAAAAGGCGAAAGAGAACTTTGAAGAGGCGAAGAAGAAGATGGAAGAGTGCGAACAGAAGGTCAAACAAGCAGAAGACATGTTACGAGTTGCGAAGTGTTCTATAGTATATGGGAATTAATCTGCTAGAAGGTGACACAAATTTATTGTCATTCTCGAAAGTATTGCCAGATACATTCCCACATCCTGGCTCGATACATCAACAGGTTAAGGCCAAAGGCCATATTTCATTCGTAGCCACTCTGTGCACCGCTCGAACTCAGCTATAATCAAGGGACCTTGGTGGCCTGGGGTTGTGGGGTTTTGTTGACATGTAGCGAGGTTATAAGGCGAACCGAATCCCAGCATCCGATCGCTCTCATGCGCGCATGATAGCGATTCTAGTGTACAGCAGTCACATTAGTAGCAGCGAGCTTCCTTTTTGCGTCCTCGATTCTTTCCATTTCGATCTGCTTCTCCTTGTCGTCCAAATCATCAGACAGCATATGTGTAGCAATTGCCTGATCGCCAAACAGCAAATCTATCTCTTCGAGAGTAAGCTGATTGGTTTCCTAAGAGTCAGTTAGCATTCGTCAGATGGGCAGCTGATTTCTAAAAGACCTCCCTTGAAGATGAACCAGATAGTCGGTAGTGTAACGCAGAGATTGAACGCTACGAAAATGAAATAGAACTTGTAGGTAATCTTGCCGAGACCGATAGGGGATACCTGTGACCAGACAGTTCCCACTAACCTGGGTGCGTGCAGTCAGTGAACAACATCTCGGATAGGTCGTGTTGGAAGAGGTACTTACCAATTTCCTACACCCGTCGCAAAAGCTGAGCCACGACCACGGATGCTCAGCGGCATGATCTCGGAGGCATATACCCATGATATAGGCCCAAATGAAACACTGAATATGCAGGACACCAGGAATAAGAAGAAGACGCCCGCACCAGAGATGCCAGCCCTGCGCGATCCAGTCGCACTATCGACTTGTGACCCGAGTGCGGCCTCACAGATGAGAGCGAGGCTGATGCCAATTGTTCCGAAGATCAAGGGTTTCTTGCGTCCAACTTTGTCCAGGAAGAAGACGATAAATACGAGGTTGAAGATAGGTCCGACAACGTTGTAGATACTGGTGACGAGCAAGTTTCGATCTCCTTGTATACCAAGGTTATCATATAGAATTGTCGAATAGTAGCCTATTCGAATAGTGGTGTAAAGTCAGTGTATGTGCTGTGTCTCCTTCGTACATATTAGCGCTTACCAATGACGTTGATTCTGTCACTTGTCAGTTTCTATACAGTAATAAACCAGCTGGGAAGCTACTGACCCAGTCATCTGACCAAAAAATTGAACTAAAGTAGCATGCATGAGGCGGGTTCTCCAAACTGGCACAGTAAACATGACTCGCCAGCCCGGAGCAGTTATCGCTCTCTCTGCATCTATAGTCAGTTTTATCTCATTGAACTCCGACTGTATCCAGTCAGAGTTACTCCCGTCGAAGTGTAGTTTCTTCAGCACCACCAATGCCTCATCCGCGCGATCAATTTCGACCTGTGCATGTAATTAGTGAAGATATAGAACATGAAGAGAATGCCCTTACTAGGTACCGAGGACTCTCTGGAAAGAACATCATGCCGCAAATGAGTATCAGACATGGCAGACACTGGAATGCGAGGGGAAAACGCCAGGAAAATGGACTTGTATCGGGTACTTTGGATGATCCGAAACCGACCCATGTTGACACAATAAAGCCGACACCAATCATTTGCTGACCGATGCCGACAATGAGTCCTGTTGCTAATTAGAGCGAGGCATAGATGGCCCAGTGGAGCTAAATACCTCTTGTCTTTGGGTGAGCACACTCTGACTGATAGATTGGCACAGACATCGAAAGAACGCCGACAGCCCACCCTGCCAGTATGCGCCCAACAAGTACCATGGCAAGATTTTGTGCTCCAGCTTGTAGAATAGCACCCACAAGATTGATTATCGCGCCCACGAGAATGGTCTTTCTACGCCCTATTACCACGGGTCAAAATGCTGCTAAGGCTACGTTCCGGGGTACATTGGTGATTTACCGAGGGAGTCCATAGTCAGTCCTCCCCTGCTGAAATTAGTATCGGAAATTTAGCGAGAGTGATAAGATAGACTTGCATGAGCGAGCCAAAGAATGCTCCACCAGAAAATGTTGCATTGATTGCCCCAATCGTGGCCGAAGTAGTAGTCGTATTGAAGTAGTCGAGGAAGTTGGGTGACTTAATCACAATGGTCATGACTCCACTGTCATATCCGAAGAGGAAGCTACCCGTGGCAGCAAATACAGCGAGAAAGACATTGAATGTGAGACCCATGTTTCCGGCGGAAAACACCAAACTCAAAAACGATGACAGCTGGGCAGGTACAAGAAGCTTATAACCATCGTCTCATGTCCACGGGCCAAGGAGCAATGCAACCCCGGGCTCAAAGCTAATGTGCCGTTGTAATGCATGAGCGGCTTAGCAGACGAGCATTCTACCGGAAGCACGTCGACCAACAGTAAGCCCAGACGTTACTACACTCTGATTTGCTGTACCCCAGCTAGGATTCGGCTTGGCATTTGAACGCCTCTTACTACCTTTCCAAAGTTGAGCACATCGGATCTTATTTTCCAGGACCATTGAGCTAGACGCTCATGTAGAACATCTCCACGATAATAACCGCGTTTAGTAGATCATCCATAGCGAAATCCGGGGATGGTTCATTAGCACAAGCGGGGTTGATGATGGATCAACACCCTTTTATCCGCCAATGGACGCTGCCAAACTGAGCGCATGCTCTGATAGGCTCACCTTATGTACGACTGCACTGTAAAGAACTTTACAAGAAGCCACCCACATTGTATGATATAATAGCAATGTTGAACGGAGTGACACGAAGCCATATCGCTAACTGTCACAGTGTCACCTTTCCATCCGCCTACCCTAGTTTTGAGATTTTCCAATCTCCTTGAAGCAAGTCGAAATCTTTCAGCTCACCGTCTGAGTCAACCTTAAGTATACCCTTCTCGTCGCCGTTTGTATCAACCAAAACCGCTCTATCACCTGTCTTCACGCCGTAAAGTCTCACCTCGCCGCCACAACCCAGCCAGTTGTACCCGAATCCGCCATCTCCCTGCGCTTGACCAAGGATTAACACTGTCCCTTCGTAAATATAAAGTGGCAGCTGAAGGAAGCCGTGCATCTCCTTCCGCCACCCACCACCCTGGACCTCTTTGCCATCCCAGAAGCTAAACCAGCGGCCTGGAGGTAGATAAAAATCGACCGTTCCATTTTCTTCGAATACTGGTGCTACCATGATCTTACTCCCCACCATGAATTGGCGATCCACGTACCACGATGTAGGATCATCCGGAAACTCGAGAGCAAGTGCGCGTAGACTTGTAGGCCATCCATTTGCAACACTCTCGACCGAGTGAGCATATAGGTAGGGCATCAGTCGTCGTTTGAGTTCTACCCAATGTCGTAGCACCTCTGTACAGTTCTCTGGCTCCATGGACGAGTCATCAATCAACCAGGGCACGCGGTACGAGCTGGAGCCGTGAAGTCTGCTGTGCGAGTTGAGCAATCCGAATGCGACCCATCGTTTGTAGATCCAGGGTTCAGGACTACCCTCGAAACCGCCAATATCGCTAGTCCAGAAAGCGAAGGAAGCCAGTCCCATCCCCAACCCCCCTCGGATTGATTCTGCTAGAGCAGCCGGAGTAGATTCGCAATCGCCACCCTACAGCGATGATTAAGTCAGTATTTGTTCAAAGAAGTATGTTATAATGGTTCAAAACAATGAGAAGAGCGGTGATTTACTGCCTAATGTTAGCATAGTTCTCTTGAACAGATCGGCATTTGTATGGGTTCACTCGTCTTGTTTAAAGAGAAGTGAAGTCATTAGAAATTGCCTGGAAAAGACACATGGTTCATGGCCGGGACATCGTACCCCAATGGAGTGGGAAGCGCTGACTGCCAGCGCATGCCGTGCGTGCAAACAGTATCGCTTCATTCTTGCCAAACTTCTTCTGGACGGCCTCGTATACCAGCTCGTTGTAGATAAATGCATAGTAGTTATGCATGCGGTTCGGGTCCACAGTCTTATCGTGCCATTGCACGTTTTGCGTTGGGATGCGCTCTCCGAAATCGGTCTTGATCGAGTCAACGCCCATGTCAAATAGCTTCTCCAGGCACCCTCGGAACCAGTCACGCGCATCTGGGTTCGTAAAGTCTACCACAGCCATTCCTGTCTGCCAAAGGTCCCATTGCCATATGTCGCCATTTGCTTTCTTTAGCAAATAGCCTCTTTCTGCTGCAAACTGGAAGACGGGGCTCGCCTGCCCGATGTATGGATTTGTCCACACACTCACTTTGTTGACAAGGCCTGCCATTTTGAGACGCTCTGATTTGGCCAGTGGGGTCTGGGAACGCCGCTGGATCCCACACAAAGTCGCACCAGTGAAACGCACGGAGCCAGAAGCAGTCGAAGTGGAACACCTCGACGGGGATGCGGCTTTCGGCACATCATGCGAAACAAACGACTGGACGGTGTCCTCTTGGTAGTTCGTCGTGAAGGAAGTGCTGAGCCACAGACCATAAGACCATGCCGGTACGCGGTTAGACTTCCCCGTCAGGACAGAATACTTTGTCAAGACTTCTTTGGGAGTGGGCCCGTATATGATATACCATTTCAGGCGGTGTCCTTCCACTGTTGTTTGTAGCCGGGAGGACCGCTCACTTCCAATTTCCAGATCTATCTTATCAGGAGTGTCAATAAAAAGGCCATAACCTTTTGAGCTTAAGCAGAAGGAAACATTCTTGTATGCTTGCTCGCTCGAAGTTCCACCATCTTCATTCCAGACCTCAATATGTTGACCAACTTTGTTCCATGCACCGAATCTCTCTCCCAGGCCGTGAATTGTTTCGCCAACACCAAGTTCAGTTTGAGTGAACAAAAAGTGGTTATGGCCACCGAGGTCTGCTACCTGTTTCGGCGTGCTCAGCGCAGGCGAATATGCGAGACCCACACTTCTGCTCAGCAGTGAAGTCAGTGTCTTTGATCCATCAGTTGCATGAAATTTGATATTGAACGCGTGCTCGTCGCCGCTAACGGTAGCACTCAATGCGCCGGACACGACTGTAGTATCTGCGCCGTACGCGCCCTTTTTCACTTCACCCGTCGCCTCGGGTTTGCCGTCAGGGAATAGGTCAAAGTTTGGTCCCAACCGACGAGTTCCAGCGTGATGCGTCACCTCCAATGAGATTACACCATCGAACTGTGCCTCTATCTCAAGTGAGAGTGTTGCAAGGTTCAGCGTATCGCCTCTCGAGAAGATTTTCTTGGTTGGACATAGAAGCTTGACCGCTTGGTTGTCATCGCTGGGCGTTACGGTGTATACTTCTTCGGCGTATTGAACAGTGTACCCAGGATTGACAAGCCACATGCCTGTTGGTGTCAGCCCTGATCCAGACACGCCTGCCGGTGTTTACTGAACCATCACGGAACTTCATCTTGAAAACGCTATCGCTGCAGCTGCTGACTCTTAGGTTCTTGGAAAGGTTCTGGTTGAGATATGGATCTGCTGTCAAAGTGTCTGCACCCTGGCCTGAATTGCAGCGCGCATGCCCTTCTTGAAGGCGCTGGATGCGCGGCCCGTTCCATCGCTATTAGCGTTGACATCGAACTGTGGACGGAATCTTCGGTGCAACAATGTCCGATTCGAAAGTTCCCCTCATCGCTTCGATGCAGTCGTGTGGCACATGTCATGACACGAATGCCCCAGGGGACCTTGCTGGTACCGTCGGCTATAAATTTAAAGTGGTTTCGCCGTGCAGGCAATTATGGTTAGCAATTGCTCGCCTGTCCCGATGCGAATTGGCTGAGATGCAGGCGTGACTGGGTTTGGTGTCGATCACGGTGAGTCCTTCTTCTTTGGATGCCCAAATACGCGAACAATGTTCAACAAGACAGGAGGTCTTGCCACGAAAGATGCACTGCCGTCGCTAGAGTTGCCAAACTGGACATCAGAACAAGATGCACATACGCTGTTGCTAGTCACATCGCCCACTCGAGCCAGTCAGACGTGAGAGGCTCGTCCCGAGGCGCCGCATTGGTAGGATACTTCACTGCCGCGCGTCAACATGTGACCGGATGCGCGCATCGTGCCAGCAGCAAACGCACACGACATCGCATTCGAAGTCTTCTGCTTTCGAATTGTCAGGCACCTGGAACAAATGGGAAACGATGGCGAAGGCGGCAGGCAAAACCCGCCTCAAGTCATGATGGTGCTTCTCGGTCATCCCGCGCGTGACCCCACTCCCCCACCTATAACAAAACTTGGACCAGGATTGAGACCAAGATACTACTTCAGTACTCCTTTATGATCAGTACAGCGTCGCTACAATAACCACTCATGCGGCCCTGACGTTCTCTACAATAACCCTCCAGTCGCTGATTTACGGATCGAAGACCCATGTCATAGAAGACACTTTTTTCCATCGTCTCCCAAGATTCGCATCGCGTCGCGTCACGTTAGTTTTACTTCAACAGCATGGCAACTTCGGTCATTGTGCAGTACACGCGTGCCCCTGAGACCTCTCCCGAGGAGTTCAAGCGGTACATGGAGGAGAACCACATACCGCTCATGAGGGAAGCATTGGGCATCCATTTTCCAGCATCTTTTCCTCGACGATACCTCGCACGTGTCGAGTCAGGAGCTGGCGATCGTCTAGGGCTTCCGAGACACAGCGATGGAGCAGCACCAGTCTGTCTGGTAGGAACGCCTGAGGAGATAAATTTCGATATGTGGGGGTAAGCATTGATGTACATGTGAAGATCTTGTTCACTGTCACTGACATGGCCAGGGAAATGATCTTTCGAGATGAGCTGCACATGCAGCAGTGTCTTGTAGCAATGAACAGTGATGCCGGTCAACTGGTGAAGGACGACGAGGAAAATTTCACCGCATCCCATCTACTAAAGGTCATACTCGTTGGAGACCGCATCGAGGGCTAGAGGCAGTATGGGAGGAAGAATCATGGCTAGGATCCTGGGTTTTCCAAAGCATTCTCCAAGACCATTCTCCTTGAGCTTCCTTTCAGTATCTTTCTACGATACCACTTCCTTCAATCCAAGCCCCCACACACTTGCTGTCAAGCAAACCCGCACATCCATCTAGAGCATCTCTTGAGCAAGCCCGAAGTCTCGGCGCAGCATTTTTTGGCGGCAATCTCCCCTTACTGCGTACCGCTACTGTATCCTCAAGGCCTGGTCATTTCATGTACCTCTCAATACGACGACAACATGAAGAATCACCGAATTTCATGTTTGATTCCTTGATGCGATTTTCACAATACCCCAGGGATCATGTTCTGAGCAAGATGTACACGTAGCTATCAGCAAGACTAGTTTTGTCGGTAATCTGAACAGAGTTGAACGTGTCAACCTCAAACAGGCCTCTTGGCTTTTCCAACTAGCTAGTATGCGCTGCCTAAAGTTGCAGAATGCTCGCATGGATAGTGAACTTGATATGGACTGGAATATTATGGTCTAGATGATTGGATGCCCAAGTCATCCTTCGCTGTGTGAAGCAGTTCAGCTAGAGTAGACTCGAGCCATTCTGACTTGCTTCTTGCCACCAAGTACAAGAAGCAATTTCAGAACGCGTCGAGGAGGAATTGAGGCACGTTAGTGGGAGCAATCACGGGCAAGAATCGACGGGTACTTGGACATGTGTAGTTTCTTTCTTATATGTCGTAGAATTGCAATAGCCCAGAGAGTCTAATCCGAGTGCCATTCACTTGCATTAGACTCCCCGAACTCGCTAATCTCAGGTCTTGCACCACGCAGCCTACAACACAGATGTCAGCAAAACACTGACATCCCAGATCGCTTCGCATCGAACACAAAATCCATAGCCACTTACTCATCTCGTCCACTACTGCTCTCGCCCATTGTCTCCTCCATGATTGTGTCGCCCAACTTTTCAAACTTGCTTCCCTCCAATGTGTCTCCACCCCAGCCCTTCTTCTCAGACATTGCCAACAGTAGGTCTTTCATCTCCTGAACCTGTTCTTGCAGCTTCTTGACTTCAAGGACCGCAGTATCATATTCGACGTTTGGCTTGCTCGCCTGCACTTTCTTGTCCCAGCCATCAGCCTCGAAGTCACACTCGTGAAGTACCTGTTCCCACTCATGTGTGGTGTCTTCGTCTTCTTCGCCCCTCCTCCTGTTGTAATTGACTTTCGCAGCCTCCTTTGTCTCGATGAAGGCAGTGACGACGAGAAGCGGGGAGTAGAGAAAGGACATGACGTAGTCGTTAAGCTTTTCGTAGGTTTTGTCGGCCATCCACCATTCGAAAGGCAGGATGAGGAAGAACATCTCGATCAAATTGAAGGGCGCGATGAATACATTCTCGTCGGGGGCGCGAACGAATTGCATAGTCTTTTGAGAGAAGAGGGCCATGTACTCATCAATGGCATTCTCGGTGATGTCTTCATACGCGGAGTTGTAGAGAGCGATGAGAATGTTGAGCAGAATGACCATGACTACGAAGGTGAAGATGTAGTAGAGAATGATACCAAATGGGGGCTGTAGAGTCAGTACTTGTCATGTGAGAAGGAAGGTCAGGCTTACGGAAAAGTTGTCAAAACCCGAGAATTCAGGTGACTGCATGACAGCGTTCAACATGGCCTGGAGGACAAAGGTCGAGTCGGATGCGAAATCATCTGCGAGATCCATTCCAAGGAAAGCCTGGAAGAAACCAATCATGACGACGATAAGCAGTGCAAAGAAGATGAGGGACTCGCGCATCATGACCTTCAGGACGACCAACATGGCGCCAAAGAAGCGGAAAGTGTCGAGATACAGCAGGAGACGCATCCAGAACATGGGCGCGGTAAATGCCAAGAAGTCGTAAGACAGCTCATTGAAACGTCCGCGCTTCTGTTCGCCAATTGGGTGTCCGAGGGCAACCATGCGCAACACAAAGGAAACAGTAAGAAGGGCGTAGAGGGTGCTGTTGAACATGTTCCAGAAGGAGATGTAGAAACGCCCGACCTTCCAGAACTTGTTAGCTTCGTCGCACACGAAGCCAACAGTGAAGATGTACAGCAGGCCCTCGACGATATCAAGGTCACCTGTAGGGTTGATGGTGTTGATGGCGCCAGTGTAAAGTCCGAGGTAGATGAAGGAGAAGGCGATTTGCACCCAATTCTGGTATCGCGGGACGCGCATACGGTCTGGGTCCAAATGCGCCCAGTAGCTTGTGTTGGTCTTGTTCTCGAAGTGGACGAAGCGACTGGGGTCTTCGTCATCCTGCACAACCCAACCGCGCCAGAGGTAGTTGATGCACTTCTGGTATCCAGACGAGCCAATGACGGTCACGGCGTGGAGGTCGACTGCCTTCTCGATAGCGTTTGCAGGAGGTGTGGGCTCGCCGTCGACGAGGGTCGAGTACCGCTTAAGCAGCACCTCTTCGAAGAGGTAGTCCATGTCTTCCTCGGCTTCGATGAGGCGCTTTGCCATCATTTCCGCGGCAACAGCGCGCACATCGTGCAAGTCGGCATCCCAGAGCTCGGCTGTCGACTGCTTCTTGAACCACTTCTTCACCACCAGCAGGCAGAACACAACGCAAGCCTGGTGCTGCTCTCCGCCAGCCGCAGTGGCCGTGTCCAAGACGGCCTTTGTCAGGATAGGACTATGCGCCTTGGTGATCTGGTCTTCTTCCAGCTCGCAGGGTATCACTTGCTCGATCTGGTGCTTGAGGCGGAGCGCAATCTTGGTGACTTCTTTCGGTTCGATGGGCGATGCGGGTAGGCGTTCATTGCGGCGCGATGTAGGCAAGACTGGGGAGTGTCAGTACGACGCGCCATCAACTGCTGTGCTATCGCAGAGGCTACCCACGGGCGCTCAGTTCATCGTGTGCTTGGTGCCTCCTGTCGTGTCCATCCGAATTGAAGAGCTGGCTCCATTTCACCATTGTTGCGAAGAGCTCGGAAGCGCACCAGGACGTCAGAGAGTCGCAATGGGGGAATCCAGGCAAATGCAGGCACAGGTACCAGATGCTCGCGGCGTAGTAGCGAGAGGAAGTCGAGCAAAAGAACCAGGAAAGAAAAAGGACTGGGCCTGCTCGCGATGTTGGCTGGCGCGCATACAAGTTGGACTGAACGCCCAGGGCCACCAGTAGCCGCGGCTGCAGGACCCGCAGCACAGCGTCATCCCAAGCTCAATCCGGGCCCAAGCTCAAGCCACATCCAACACTTCACGCGACGAAGCACAAAACTCTGGTATTCCTCAGCTGACTGCATTTGAACTTCTTGGTAGGATTCTACAATCATGCATGAGAGTCTCTGCTCATATCGAGAACTGCTGTACATGTCCATGTACGCGGCACGCATGCCTCGCATGCCTCGCATCGAGACCCAAACGCCGAGTATCAACTTTTGACATCGCTGAATGCCCCGTCATGACCAGTCGTATACAAAAAGGCACTCTAAGAGTCGGCTTCGACAACACCGCCCTCATCGCTTGTGCTCTCGTCCTCGTCACCGCTGACTTCCTGGTTCTCGCGCTCCCGTTTCTCCATGAGCGCGGCCAGCTCGGCGTCGTCGTTCTCGGTAACCGCCTTGGGCGCCATCTTGACTTGGCAGTCACCGCCCGCCTTTGTGATGCTCTCCTTGATGTCTTTGATGGATTGTTCTAAGCAAGCGATTCCGACCGTCTTGTCGAGACATTGTGATGTGAGGACTGCACATGTTAGCGAGTGTTCCAGTGTGGCTTGGGACTGCAAGACCTACCGTAAAGCGGCGGCGACACAAGCTTCACCTTGACCTGGTTTTCAGGGGTGTTCTTCGCCTCGGCGGTGCGAAGAGCCTCCTTGACGGCATCGATGCCCTCGTAGCCAAAGCAAGTGACTGTATTTGTTAGCCAGCATCCCTGGCACGCTACACAGGTGCTGCATACCCTCGATATCTGACCGCACCTTGGTAGGCTGCGGCGTCAACCTCTTGCCAATATAGCTCTGAAGCTCCTCCTTGACCACGTCGTTGGGGAATGTGACGTCGTTCCACACCTCGGGGTTGGTGATGCTGAGCTTGAAAGCGTCGATGGAGTGTCCGTACTTCTTGTTCAGCGGCCAGCCGATGCTCTGGTAGATCTCCTCGATGGGCACTGTCGTCTTCTCGGCGACGTGGCGCATGATGCTGTGTACCATCTTCGACTTGTTGTACCTCTCCTCGCACTTGACGATGTCCTCGGGCGAAACACGACGCTTTGACAAATCAATGTAACCCTTGTCCTTGTCTACACGGAGCACGACGACGACTTCGTTGCGGCCAACACGGATGAGCTTCTGGATGGAACGAATACGTCTTCGGGACAGTTCGGAGAGCAAGATCATGCCGTCAATGTTGTCTGGAGCTATTAGCACCACACGCGCACACAACCCGGGATGACAGCCCTACCATATTCTAGCAGCTTGACGTATGCGCCCATCTCTGCGATTTGCTTCACATTCACCATGACAAAGCTCTCCACCTCCGGGTACTTCTCCTCATAAAACCGGCAATTTGTGAGAGACATGGTGTGTATGTGCTCCTTCTCTTCGCCTGGGTAGGATTTCGTTTGGTTGTGCGACTTGCGTCGATGTGGGGAATTTCGCGGGGCTAGGCTGTCTCTCTGCGCGTCCGGAGTAGTGTCAGGGTAAGGTCTGTTCTGTCCCTTGGAAGCAGTCGTCTGACGGTGTCGCGCGGAATATGAGGTTGGTGATAATCCGATTGCCGTGACTCAAAGATTTGCCCACAGCGCAAGTGCGAGCCCCGCGACGCCAAGATTCGAGCAGCGCTAGGGTCAATCTGGTATAGCAACACCCTAAGATCTGGAAGGCATGCAGGTGAAGGGCAAAGTTCGTAGTCAGCTACCCAGAAGCACTGCGTCAGTAGCATCGATGCAATTCGGGTCGTAACTGGTGCTACTAGGCACGCTGGATACTTACGCACAAAGACACTGTTGTATACATCATCACGTAAACGCAGACGATTGTGATTTCATGAGGCCGTTCTCTGCTGAACACCTTGGACATGTTCAAACACCAAGTAACCCGCTCACAGACCTGAAGAATACTGGTACAGTATTGGAACCCCCCAACGCGAGTGTCCAGCAGCGTGCTGCTATCATGCGCGAAGAGTAAGCCGGGTATATCCACGCTCGAATGCGCCACGAGGAAGATCACCCGAGCCTAGAATCAACACCTGCCGAGCAGAGTTTCCGCATCGAGTAGGTTGCGGTCGCGAACGCATGCGACTGCCAGGATCGTGGTTTCATCGCGTGGGCAAAGCATAATCTTTACCTGCGAACATACGTCTTTGTTCACTGTGAAGCATTCCTTACAGCAGTCGGTCAGCGCCTTGATGCGCAGACAATGATGGGCGCAGGGGTCGCATCGGAGCGTGCGAGCGGGGGCTGTGATGATGATGTACGGGTGCTTGGACGCTTCAAGCTTGGAACCTGGCTTGCAAGTAGCACGCGCTAACAGCCGTTGTAACTGCTCTCCTTTACGAAGTACATGTAGCACTTGCCATGCATCCTTAGCCCCGTAATGTGTCTTGTCTAGTAATCTCATGTCTCAAGTTATAACCCCACTGTAGCGGTTGAGTGAGCGAGCGCAACGTCGGCGGTGATTCCCCTAGACAGGAGAGGAGCAGGCAGTCCGATGACCGACCAGCGGCCACACTCATGGCACCTCCAGCCCGAAATCGCGAATCTGTCGCCGGACTCTTTCACGGCGCAGAAGCTGGTACATGGCATACACCCCAATCGCTTGTCGTGTGCTAACCGTCGCAGCAACATGCGACGCCCGAGCATCTCTACCTCACGTCGCGGCGCTTCTTCATCGGCCCCATACCTGTATGCCCGTCCAGCTCGAATGCAGACTTCACGCTCACGCTCACGTGCACCTCTAGACAGCATGGCTGAGTAAACACCGCCGCGACTGGTACAAACACCACCTGCGAATCAACTACTCGACGCGCACCGCGACCTTCTCCTCAGACCCTCGCGAAGCACGCCACCGGCGATTGAGCGGCCTCGAAGGCCCCAGCACATCTGCTCTGTTCCAGCACAGCTTTCCCCAGCCCGAGGAATTGGAAGACGAGGACCAGGAAGGTGCAAAGGGCCCAGGAGCAAGCGCACCCAATGGCAAGGCAGCTGCGACCACGAGTACCCCGCCCGCCCTACAAGTGCCCCGGGGGTCAGAGCAGAAGGACCATGTCCTAGTGGAAGACGAGGGCGACGAGTTCGTCGATGCACCCTCGGAACCCGAAGATGAGGGAGACCTGCGCGTCTACACACATGCTGAGGACGACGGTGGCCAGGACGCCCCGACAAAGCCCAGTCGTTCGAGTACCAAGTCATTTGTCACTGCATCTTCAACACCACTCACGGCAGACGTGGATAAAGCTCGCGAAGATGCACCGCTACATGGAGACCGGCGGCAAGCACAGGCAAGTGGCTTACAAGTTTCTCAGGAGCATCAAGAGACGGGGCCAAAGTCATTGGGAAAACGCCCAGTTTCGAGTGTAGAAAGTCACAATATCCCGGCATCCCCTGGTGGACAGACTTCAGTAGATGCGGGATCAACATCTTCGTTGATACGTAAGGCTGACATGAATAAGGCACCGGCACCCGCTGATGTCGACTCGAAATCACCCGCAAAAGGCATACTCGCAAGAGTCAAGAGGAGGTCAGAGAATGCCTTGTCGAAATCGGACCCACCCAACGACGCAGAAGGCGCCGATGCTGCTCTCACGCAAAAGAAGTCCAACCTCAGGAACTTGGTCAAATTCGACATACCAGAAGACTCGAAGCGCGCCAAGGTGCACCTCGCGGCAAAACAGGCACAGATGACAATCTCACGAGCCCCGACTAAACTACGGCGGCAACGCCTGAGAGATGGCCTTGTCGTCAAAATGGAGCGAATGCTTGTTCGCGTTGACGCTGCAGGGGAGGTGCCGGACGACTTCGATGAGAACGTCAATCAAAGAGTGAACTCCCGGGTCAAGGACAAATGGAGAGAGTACATGATCGTTTGTCGTCACAACCATACCGACAATGCTGACTTTGTCTTACAACTCTATCAAACAAGAGTATGTGACTGTCCACAGAGCCATGCTATGCTGATTTGTACTAACTGCCCCGCTAGGTCATTCCCGAAATTGCGCGACAAGGCGCAGGCAAGAAAGCCGCCTATGAAGTCCCACTAGGCAGGAAGACGAGCAAAGTCAATCTTTACTCTTCGCTAGACAAGTCAATAGTGGTGTCCACTCCCGGCAAGCGCGGAAGCCTGATCTTCATTATGCAGGCACGGACTGCTTCAAATGCTGTCGAATGGTACACATTCCTCCGCAATGTGATGGGGTGGCGTCGTGCCTCTGAGTTGCAGATCAACATACCAGACATGAGTCTCAATGTGCGGATAGCAGATCCCTTCAAGAAGCTAGAGGCATCTCAAAACCAAGTGCAGCAAGTAGAAGACACCGAACAAGCCATGATGAAGACCATGCGGGAAGAACAAGCAGTTGCCTCTGATCTGATTCGCAAATGCCTAGCCGAGCTTGAACAGGCACCTGAGTGGGCGGATGTTCTGGATTCATGGATCAGGGATCAACGCGTCGGTCTTGCTTGGAAACGCTACGATCGGCTGGAATGGATCCACGGAGCAAATGAACGCAAGATGTACGGCACTATCGCTATGCTCAAATCACACGAACTCGAGCTGCGCCCCAAGTCCCACTATCCGACAACTGCTGTCACTCGCAAGAAGCACAAGACGCTCATTGAGCCGGTCCCCGTCGAGGGTTTCCTGATAAGATTGACCGGACAACGAGGTCGGGTAAAGAGACTAGGCCTTATGTACCACAAGCAGCTGTACTTCGCAAGCCACGATCAGTACTTAGTCTTCTCGCGTCCCACAAAGATCACTCCGCCACCTCCCCCTAAGCTTCCAGCTTCCAGGGACGCTACTGTGCCCGCAGCTCAGGCAGTTCGCGACGTAATACCGGAGAGCTGGGCAGTCAACCCGTTCCCAGTCAAAGACGCCCAGATCGAATGGCTGTCGCCAGGCCATTCTGGAACACCAGAAAGTAGACGCTTGCACGACGAGGATGCGGCAGATGAGGCTCAGCGCAAAGGACAAAATCTTCTCAATTGTGACGGTTACATCAACTTGGCAGACGTGATAAAGGTTCGCAAAGCCAAGCTTGGTGCTAGTCCTGCAGACGAGGATCTTGAAGAAGGCTCTGATGTCGACTTCGATGAGGAAGTTGATGACACGACGAGAGACGACGGTGCGACAAATGATATTGATCTGGGTCGCACATTCGAGTTAGTGATGAAGAACGGCCTCGTCATACGTTTACAGGTAAGGAATTCCAGCGCATCCTTTCAGCATATACTAACTGAAAACAGGCTGCGGATAAGGCTCGCCGTAAGGACTGGATCCAGCATCTTCGCGCCCTAGCAAAATACTGGAAGCATCGCACCGCATCTGACATTGCTCTTTACAAGGCGACACGCAGTCGCAATCTTAGTGCACTCAATATTGACGAAGAAGCCGAAGCCCACATTGGTCAGTTTGCACGCAAATGGGAAGTGACGCAATCCTTTGCGTCACCCGAGCTCTACAACATGTGCGGCATTGCGTGCTGTCGCAGTATCCATATGAGCGGCATGCTCTACCGTAAGCCCCGCATTCACGCGCCATTCACGCGATGCGGCGTGATGTTGACTGCAGGTACCTTGCTCATCTTCCGAGACGTTCTTCGAAGTCGTGTTGGCAAGCAGCTCAAACACATTCACCACGAGCGCATTGCCAACCTGGACTTGAAGGACTGCTACATTTACTCTGGTCTTCTTACAGAAAGCGATTTGTTGTACCAGAATCAAACGTTCGATGCCAACAAGCCTGGCCACCACGCATTACCCCGCATATATCTGGAAGATGGTTGGACATCGACTGACGAGGATGTAATGACGACATTCGTCATCTGGCACGGCAAAGCAAAGAGCTGGTTTCGTGCCGAGGAAGGTGCTGGTGGCGGAGAACAAGAGCGAAAGGAAGGGAAGAGGACACGGATCAAGAGGGTGGCAAAGCTTGGTAGCAAAGGCAGAAGTGTGGTATTCCGAGCACGTAGTAGGGCAGAGCGGGATCACTGGGTGCTCGCCATACAGAACGAGATCGAACGTGCACAAGGCGATACAGCGGACTTCAGGCTAGAAGAGGCTGCGGAGCCTGCCAAGGTCCTGGACGATAGTAGTAGCAATGCCGCACAAGTAAATGGGAGCGGTTGAACGGTCGGACTCAGAGAGTCGGCAAGTCGAGGTACTTTGTTTGGCATGCGCATGGTACGTTGGAGTCTATATCCTTTTTCCCTGCATTATATTCTAAGCTGCCCGGTGCCGTTGTAATAGAACCTTCAAGTCTGAACATACTCGTTGTCAATCTTAAGCTTCTTCATCTCCTACATTTTTCGCCTGTCCAGCATCAGAGTAAGCTCACAGTAGTCCTGTCGAGCAACCATTCATCCCACTCTCGGGGTCGGTGAAACCACAAGTCACGTTGCTCCCGTCACGCCAACATGGACCCGCGTGTTGTGTATCACCAGAGCTTCTGTTTGTTTTGCGCAAAAGCTCGCTGACGTAACGTGTCATTTCAAACAGCTGTCTGAGCTGCCTGGCCAGTATCTGCTCCGTTTGCTCTCGCACTAGCGCTCTTGGCAGCCCGCACACTGCTATCAAAAGCCCGCGCGGCCTCGCCTTCCAGATAAAACATCTCACGCGCTGACAAGTTTTCTCTCTCCTCAACCACACTCGCTTGTCTCACGCTCCCCAAAGTTCCCAGGCAAAGCACCAGCTCAACCGCTACAAAGCTTCCCATCACACAGCACGAGACACATCCATCAGCTGTCAATTGTCAACATGGTTGCCTTCAAGATCCTCACTCTTGCCTTTGCGGCTACCGCTACGGCCTCCACCTTCTACGCGCCCCCGCCTGCGGTCTCTTCGGCTGTCAGCGTGCCGGGTGTCACTATCGTCACCTCGACCGTCACCGTTGTCGGCAAGGCTCCCTCGGGTCCCGACCCCACCAGCTCTATTGTAGTCGTCAGCTCTGTCGTTGCCACCCCAGGCACTCCGGTCACCGCCGTCCCGTCCAGCAGCAGCGAATACGTCAACATCTCCTCGGAGCTCAGC